AAAATAAATATTGATATTTAGAACTTAATATCATTGCTTTTAGCTCATTTATTTGATCTATTAATTCCTTCTTTTATGGCAACAACTGAAAAAATAAATATTGATATTTAGAACTAATTTTTAACATATACCTAATTTATTGTATAATTTGTATAAATGATTGGTCAGTAATCAGCAATAATTTACTTACCAGCACGACCACTTGTGACAGCAGATCCTCCAATAATACCAGCAACAGCCGATTATATTGCAATACTAGCACCGTCGGTAAACAGAGAAAGAATCATAGAAACCATAGTCAACACAGGTTTGATTTCACCTTCAATTATATCTAATTTCTCCTTTGTCTCTGATTTGATGTTACATGGATTTTTTTGAACGCTATTTTTATATATATTAAGGCTATTTTTAATTTTTACTAATTCATTTTAATACTATTAGCTTGATCAATTAACATTTTAGCAGATTCTAAATTACGCTTAGTATCATCCAATAAAGATTTACCTCTTTAAAATTATCATCAAAAGTAGATTGATTGGCAAAACATTTAATAACAAGTTGCAAGTAGGGTCCGTAATGGGTCGGTATCTCTAAACCGACCCAAGCCCAAAAATATTTTACAAGCCAAAGTTCGGGTCGGCTGGGCTTACTTCAAACTATAGCCGATCCTGCCAAACCCGACCCGGCCCAATAATATATATAAAATTTTATCTACGACGTACGCATACTATTCTATTACATTTTTAAGAATAGCTAACGGTTCTCAGATTTCAACACAACTTTCTACCTATGATTCATTTTTAATTTTGGATAAGAATCAATTGTAAGCACCATTTCCATTTTTATAAGAATCTGTTCCAAACACTATTCTCATTCATTTAATCAGCATTATAATTTATTACATGTTATCATAAAAAAAAAAGATATATTCTTTTTCATACTAAAGCCAACCCCGTTCCCGGTTTCAACGCAGCTACGTCACTCAGCTACTTAATTTAGATAGTTAGAATAGTTTTAATAGGATGTGTTATTCATATAACGGCCCTGCAACTGTCCTGACGCAGCTCATACTTCTCACGTACAGTACATATTGCTGTATTAATAGCGGACATCATAGGAGGAAATTCTTCTGATTGGCTGATGTAAATCGATTACTTATTTATACACTTTTTGGTAGCACAACGTTTTATTAACCGCAAAAACCCTTTATAGCTATAGAATAGCGTCAATATTCACTGTGCAAATTAATCTAAAAAAGATCTTTACTTCCGGCGAACTTAGCTTAGAAGACAAAGTATACAGATCGTTTATTGGACAATATCAAATTATATTGAAAATGAAGATAATTGGGAACGTTTTTCGTTCACGACTGCCTTATTACATTAGATTTTTAAAAAAAACCTATTACTAACTATTGAATTTGGGTTTAATACTTGAATATATTTAGTTCTTGCGATGTGTTTTGGTTTGCCAACCGCAATAAGTTTTGATTCATGGATCGTAGATTTATTAATGAATCTGGGTTTATTAATAATGCATACCACTTTACGTGTATCGCTATAACAGAATCTGATTCTTTCAAATATCTTTAATATAAATATTACAATTAGAAATAATTACATCTGCAGTAAACATTCAGGTGATTTGCTGGTTAATATATTCAATGAAATCGCTAATATGAAACGTATTGCCCTCCAAGTCGTTAAAGCTATGACTATTGATTTCCATTTCTTCATCAGATTTTAAAAATTTAGTAAAACTCTCTGTATTGTTTTTCCAACCCAAAATGGTTTCATGAATTTCCAAAGCTGATGGTGTAACGGTTGGTTGGGAGAGCGATGCACAATGAATGCGCAGTGTAGCTCCAACCGCTACTAGAAGTTATGTGGATTGAATAATAAAAG